GCGTTTGCTTGGCCATTGGTGGGCTTTTCCAGCTTCCTGCTCTGACGGGAGGTGTTGGGCATGTGAGTGTAACCTTGACTTGGTGCAGGCACATGTTTGCATTGATCAAGCCACTTGGTCATCTAGAAGAAGGGAGAGTTGGTTGAGTTGGGATGAGGCGCTCTCATGCGAATGCCTCATAAACCTCGCGAGGAAAATACAACTCGGTTGTCTTTATAGATGCAACTTGTGCCCCAGTTTAGTGTCCTGGGACTTGACCTTTTTCATGTGAAAGGAAAGACTGCTATAGACCTCGAGGTTGGAGTTTGAAGTGCAATTTAAACCATCGACTGGAGATCTCAGATATGGCATGTGCCAATAGCAACTACCCCCCCTTCTGACACGGACGAATATCAAACAACCCAAAATATCCCTCTTTAAACTCATCGAACCCCAGGCTCTTTCTTCCCTGACACGCCAGGACATCAAAGCTCCTCACGACCGCCACAGCTCCCCCCAAGCTCGCACGCTACAGTTTGTGAGCAATCAAAGCTGATCCTCTTGACCGTAACGTTCCCAGCGCCCTCAAACTCCCCCTGCCGCCCCGGTGCCGCAAAGGTATACTCCATCCATCCGTGATGCGTAGGCGGCATTTCCAAGTCGTTGTACACGAGATGCGGTCTATATCATCGAGCATCAGCACATATCCACGTATTATGTCCCCCTCAAAGCAAACACCGACCCTTCCAACATTCAACACACCACCGAGACCAAAAAGAAAAGAACAAAACTCACCCTCCACCCCCCCTCCCCCCTCCACCCCCCACCCAAAACCGATTCCCACTCATCTGCATCCTCCCCCCGCTCAGCGATACCAGCACCGCCCTATCCCACCTCGCCAGCCCCCAGTCCAGCACGGTCGTGAAATCCGCGTCGAGGACCGCCCACGGGAATCTCTCCCCCTTTGTCGTCGGGCTGTACTCCCCAGGCTCGTCACTGTTTTCTTGCTCGAAGTTGGGAACTTGAAGACTCGGAAGCTGCACGACGAGATTACAGTCCCCCTTCTTCACTGACGGTGGGATGCCGGGGTAGCACCACGGGCAGAAGCGCGTGTAATTCGTGTCGGTGGGAGTGGGCTCAGCGCCTATTGTTGACGTGTTGACGAACTTTGGCGGGACGGTGACGGTCGTGTAAACCGGCGGTGGGGTGACGAAGAGGGTGGTTGTGCTTGTTGGGGTGGGTTTCGTCGAGGTTGAGTTTGAGGCAGTAGTAGTCGAAGTTGAGGATGTTGTCGAAGTCGAAAGGGTCGATAGAGTGACCACCGAGGCGCGGTCGATGCCGTCGGGCAAGGACGTGGTTGCATGGGTGAGGGTAGTCACCGGGGCGTGGTCGATGCCATCTGGGGCGGTGGGGGTGGTTTGGGTGATGGTGATGGCCGAGGCGCGGTCGATGCCGTCTTCTGCTGAGGGGAGGGGTTCGTCGGAGGAGACGGGCGGGGAGGAGGTGATGCTTGAGTCGGGGGGGGCGGATGAGGAAGCAGGGTCGATGTCTTCGGCGCTGCTGGCGCCGCTGCTTTGGGCCGAGATGATATAGAGCGATGCGTGGTCGACGCCGTCTTCGATGGAGACGCTGGCCAGGGAGTCTTTGGTGACTGGGAGTACTCCTGAGATAATCCCCGAGACAAGCGTGGCAGCTGAGAGGACGAGATACAAGAGTTGTAGCATGGTGGGTGGTGATGGATGCCTCGGCGATGGGAATGAAAAAGGGGGAAGTTGATAAGCTTCCAGGAGACTCAGAAGGCGAGTGTGGTGGCGGTGGTAGGACTTTATGCAGTAAAAGGTGCCGGTTGGGAACCTCGACATGAGAATGCCCGTGGTGTATGGGACAGTATGGCTCAACAGGCTGAGATGAAACAAGTTCATCTGGAGATATTCCATGGTTGAGTCTCTGTTCCCCCCATCTTCGGACATTCCATCAGACGACAACCACTGGTATCCTCAAAAGATGTCATTCAACGACAAATGACGACTCCGGCTCCTGGTATCCCCGTGGCCCGAGTGTCGACTCCGACTGCGACTCCGTGACTTGTGCCTGTCGTCCGGACTTGTGTGTCTCGAGTGCGAGTGTCGACTCCTGCTCCTGCTCCCACGCTCAATCAGATCCCAGTACTTTCTCCTCCGAAATTCGGTCAGACCGGCCTCGTCGATCCAATATATGTGCTCTTCGGCCCACTCGGCCTCGTTCGGCATCAAGACGGCCACATGGACACCATCTCCGGCGTGGGAGTTGTGCCGTGGGGCCTTTACCATGGTCACGGCAGGTGTGACATCTCCGTCTCCAGTATCCAGAAGGGTGATGTGAGTTGTTTGGACTTGTTCCAGAATCGACCTGTTGGAATGCATCAGGGCGACAAACTGGGGGATCGTGGCCTTGATCCCATGTGCGTCCACCTGGGATGATCCATAAGGATCGCGGCTGGAACTCCGTTCTCTACTATGAGAACGCACGCGTGGCACAGGCTGCGAAGAGACGGAGTCCCTCAATTTGACATAGCTCGGTCCCCGGCTTGGATTCGCCTTCCACTTGAACCCCTGGGCATCCTCGTCGGTGGGCACAAAGACGGCCTTGCGCTTGATCTTGTCGTGCGTCCTCATGCCGACCAGGATCGACTTGGGAACGCCCTGCATGGCGGCAACGGGACGGATTCCAACAGCGATATCGCGAGGTCCAACGTTGACTTTGTACAGCGTGACAGACCCAGAGTCTCCGTCCTCGGCCCAGGTCACGGCGGTCAGGAACTCGCAGTAGCCGTTGTACTTGGTCAGATCGAATAGTTCGACTTCGAGCCTCTCCAGTTCTCGCTGCGACAGCTTTTCGGGAGTGGATTCCACGGAAGGCAGGAGAATCTCCCGCTCCGACTCCATGAACTCGAGGTGGTCGTGCGAGTGGACGATAGAGTGGGCCGACTCGACAAGTCCGCCGAAGCCTTCGAGCCCTATTTCTCCGGGAAGCTCGACCTTGAAGCGATCGAGGGGGCCAAGTATTTTGTCGCGTCTTGCTTTGCGGAAGTTGTCCCTCGGAGGGAGGGTGGCTTCGTCGAATGTTGTCCAGTCGAGGAAGTTGCTTTTGTCATCGTGGTGTCCTACGACGAGTGTGTATCCAGGGCCGGGTCTGGTCTTGTCTGTAGCTCGACTTGCGCTGACCGAGTCTCCGGGTCGAGTATAGTTCCGAGTCTGAATCTGGGTTTCGCGAGTCATCCCAGTCAGCACGGATGAAATGTTTCTGCTGTTGTCAAAGACGGAGGGTTCCCTGATGGGCGGATTTCGGGGCCGGGAAGCCATGGGTGCAGTTTTCATCTGGTTTCGAACAAAGTTTGTGTTGAGTTTTGAATGTGTTGAGCAAAAGTTGGGAATTGTCAAAGCAAAATACTGACGAAAAAGACGTCGAGTCAGCATGGCCTTTGTCCCATAGCCCCCAAGGTCAGGTGGGTTGGCTGAAGATGGTGGGGGCGCGGTTGTGTGTCTCAGGAGGCCCTATCAGGTGCCGTGTTTGGGCAAGTTGGCAAGCGGGCCATGGCTGAGCTGGTGGCTGCTGCCTGTCACCACGACAGTCATCAAGATGGAGGGTGGTGACTGCCAACTGCGCAGTTTGTGTGACACCCAAAACGAAGGTGTTGCCCTTGCACTCGATTCTCCTGGATGTAGCTCGGTCCCGTTTGTTGTCGAGGTTGCCCCGGTTGGCGAACCATCCCGTGATCCTCAGATCCTACCGCCAAGTTTCTGTCAATTCCTCGGTGCTGTGAGGCAAGTCAGCATGGCAGACATTGTACCATGGTTGCCGCTGACTGCCCGTGCAAGCCGAACACCAACATCCTGAAGTTTGTGCCATGGTCGATCGAGGTGAGATTCTCTCGGGCCCGGGTGTGGACAGGAAACACAGAAACATGGATCAGCTTACTGTTACCGTCGTCCAAGTGGCAAGGCTTCCACCATTGGGACTCAAAGCTCCAGTCCTTTCTCTGCTTGGTGATACTATATGTTCAATTATCCGTTGATTTCCAGCCATTGGGGGCTGAGACATGGCTCCTCGCAGTTTCCCCGTGCATGGCCATGATGCCCACCGAGGATTGAGTGTGAAGTTGAGTGATTCTTGTCCTCCCGGGGTGAGTAGCACAGACATGACATCCAAAACGGACTCGGTAAGAGTTTGCAACGCGGACAAGAACCTGTATTTAAACTCGGCGTTGGCATCAGCCAACGTCCACATCGTTGACACCCACCACCCTTCGCCTCCACAACAACAACAACAAGTCAACTCCAACACCTACCACACCACCACCCAAAATGCATCTCTCCCTCCTCACCCCCATCCTCCTCTCCCTCTCCACCCTCGCCCACGCCGCCACCCCCATGAGCATCGAGGTCTACGAAGAAAACGGCAAGACCGTCGTCCGCGAAGTAGTACGCCCCTGTCTCTCCCCAACCCCCCCCCCCTCACAAGTCTTCCTCCTCAATACTAACGCCAAATCCCATCGAGCAGCCGGGGACGTCCCTCGCCAACGTGGACGCCGCTTTCTGCACCAACTGCGTCCACGTCGGCGGCCGCTGCAACATCGGAGAAGGCAACTGCTACGCCTCCGAGAAGGCGTCGTGCACGTACTGCGGGGGAGCGTGCAAGATTTGTGTGAGGGAGGGGATAACGTGTGAGGCTTATTGTTAGGGGAGCTGTCTCAGGACTGGAGGGGTTTGTCGGGGTCGTCTCGGGAATGTGTGGTTCTGTACTTGGGTAGTAGTAGCTGGATGTTGAGCCTCAAGTCCTCGTCCGTTCGTTCGAGGGCAAGGGTTGTGAATATATCTCTTCGTCCAGTACCATCTGACATGACGAGTCGTGTCATGCCCTGAAGACCATCCGGTCTGATATGCCTGGATCTACCTCGTCACTCTCCCCGTCACAGCCCGCCCAGGGACAAAAAAAAGACAAAGCAGGTGTATAAGACAGATACCTAAACCTGCAAAAAGATGGGGGCCACCCGGGGATTGAACCCGGGACCTCTCGCAATGTGTACTTCAGGGTGAACCCTAAGCCTGATTTTGTTAGGACGACCAACCCGCATATGTGGAGGAGATGCAATGACTTACGAGAATCATACCACTAGACCAGCGGCCCGTACATGGATCATGTCCATTTGATGGTGGAGGGGCGTTTGGGAGAAGGGGATTTGTAGGACTGCCCGGAGGGGATACCGGTGCTGGATTCTGGGATGACTCGGAGCTTGTCTGGCGAGAAAAAAAGACTCGCTGGATTATGTTGGGGGAAGTGGACGAGATCGGGGGTGACGGAGAGGCTGCGCGTGGAACTTGGAAAGGAAGACAGACCCCAAGGTGCTGTCGGGGCTGCGAATGTCGAGAGAGTTTTGTTTGGGTTCTGTCGTTGCGGCAGCATTTACGTCGGCGACCTGAAGGTTGCAGATTCCAAGTTGGAGGAGGGAAAAAATATGGATGCCCAGGGGCAAAAATATATTGACAACTGTGAGATTCGAACTCACGCCCTTTCGGACCACGAAATCCAAGTGGATATCGATCCAGGTGATACCTGAACGTGGCGCCTTAGACCGCTCGGCCAAGTTGCCTTGTTATTTGATGAAAGGACAAGGTAGAAACCCACTCCATCATCGATAGGTAGGTGCGGTTCGTCATCACAGACTGGAGCTGAGGCCAAGAGGTCCGGACTCGATGATTCTTCTTGCGGAAGGCAGGTGACGGGTTGCGATGCGTCTTGGATTGGGTCGAGCAATGATCGACCCACTGGGACAATGGAATGGGCTTTGCAATCTGAGGCGTCAGTGAAAGAAAGGTTGTGGCTCTTGAGAGGTGAAGGTTTTGGAGGTCGTTGAAAGTGAAGTGGGGCGTTGACGCGGTCGTGATTTGGAGGGGTTTGGCAACTCCGTTTGGAAGCTTGGACGGCCACTCGTCCAACTCTCCTCCTCCTTCTCCTTCTCCCCCGATCCAGCAAAACGCCATGTCGATTCTTGCACCTGCGACCATGACCAAATGCACTTTACGCGTCTTCCTCGAAGGAACCGGAAAAAAGTATCCTTCTCCACCAAATTGGCATCGACAGCTGCGGCCTGGCTGAAGTGACGCTGTGGGAGACGTCTCGGACGGAGTCGGACCTGGAACCCCATCGACGTGGACGACAGGAAGAGCAGGGAGACTGCCTGGTACTGCTCGTTTGTCCTGTACAATCAGAGCTATGTGCGGCAGACATTCGATCGCTCGGAGCGATTCCTGGACTTGCTCAGTCAATTGACGACGGCGACCCGAGTGGCCACGGCCGTCCACTGACGCGACTTGCCATCGTCGGTCTTGGCAGAGGTTGAGAGCTCCCCTGCCGCGCTGGAAGACCGGAAGCTGACCAAACTGTCTCTCAGGATCTGTATCCGTACATCCGAAAGGAATTGCAGCAATCCTCATCACAGACATAACTCTCCCCCGAGACCCTGAGACAACGCCGAAGCCGGGAGCGCCCAAGTCTACCATATCACCAAGGACAAACGCACAGGATGGGCTGGTTCTGAACTCGATTCAACAGACTCTGCTCTCTCGCCACTACAACGGCTTCCTCGCCGTCACCACCAGACAGTCAAAGATGGCGTGGGCATCCCCCCGACGCACCGCCGCCCTGACCTTGTGGTTCAGCACATCGACCTCCTCCTTGGACCACCCCAAAACATCCTTGAACAAGGCGGCCGTAAACGCCTCGACACCCTCGATAAAGTTGACCCCCATCAGCGTCCCAATCTCCTTGAGCCTCGCGTTCCTGGGCCACCCGCCGATTGGCAGCTTGAACTTTTCCACCTTGACCTCGTCGAACCCAGCCGCCTGGCACCACCCCTCCATCTCCGGCGCCGGATCCAGCGTGCGGCCGATGCGCTCACACGCCTCCATCAGCCCCTTCATCATGGCCACCATCGCATTGTCCGGCTTCAGGCTTTCGTCCTCCGAATACAGCGTGTTGGCCGTCTCCTGAAACTCGACGTATCCGCCCGGCTTCAAGTTGTCGAAAATCTGCCGCACCAGCCTCGGCCAGTCCTTGATCGCACCGGCCATGTACCGCACGTGCACATAGTCGTACGGCTCGGGTTCCGCCCACTCGAGCTCGACGTCGTCGACAATGAACTTGACGTTGGGCGGACACCAGTTCGGCTGGATCGGGCTCAGGTCGTTGCCGACAATCTGCTTCGCGCCCGGGTGGTCCTCGCCGAGGTGGATGGCCCACATGCCGGTGCCAGTGCCGATGTCGAGGATGCGCAGTCCGTCCGGGTTGATGGGTGCGAGATACAGTCGGTCGTTGAGCAGTCGGAAGAAGACGTGGTGCAGCATGTCGAGACGGGCTTGCTCGTGCTCGTCGTTGGGGAAGCTGTACGCGCCGGCCTGGTACGAGTGGTAGCGCCGGCCATGCTTCCATTCGTACGAGAGCACCGATGGTCGGAGGGAGGTGGAAGCCGAGGCATCGCTGCCGACGACGGTCTCGTAGGCGTCGAGGTCGACCTCGACCCGCTCAGTGTCGGGCATGTTGGGTGTTTCTGGTGACCTTCGTGTACGGGTCTTGGTGGTCTGCCGGGACATCCAAAGAGGCGGAGGTGGGGGGGAGATACCGCCCTTTTGTCTGACAGAAGAGCCCGACCGCCTGTCTGCCCAAAGATGGGGCGGGTCTGGCCGGGCAAGACGGCATCCAAGACAAGGGCAGTCCCGCCCTCGAGCCGCTATCGACGACCCCGGCCCGGAAGCAGGTCAGTCACACGCGAGGCCCACGAAAGACCGCACCGCCCAATGGCCGCCATCGTCACCCATGTTTATCGCACTAGGCGGTTTGGATCCCACGTCACATCCCCGAACCCCGCCCGCCCCACCTGCGATGGAGGCCCAAGGGTGTTGTAGTGATGGTCGTGGGGGGACACGTGGGGGACTCGCTTCGCCAGGAGAGGACCGTTACAAAGTACGGCGATTCTCCTATTCAACAGCCTGAGATACAGTGACGACGAGCAGCAATGTCGGGCGGCGTACCCATGATTGCCTCGTCAGTGTGTGGCTGCGACATGGCGACGCCGGCGACCACGGCGAGCACATCGATGCGGACATGCACGCACGACCTGCGGGATCGGGATGGCCCGCAGCGACCCCGGGGCTTGGCGCGGCAGCCCTGAGGTCAGGCGACGCCAGCACAGCTTTGAGAACGCCTGACGAAGCAACATCATCCGAAAGAGGCCAAGGCCGACAGGTAGGTCAAACAACTGCCCATTACCATTAACGAGTGAAGCCTGTACGGGAATTATTCTAACAGGGACAAAGGAAACGCGAGTAATCCGTATAGACGCGAAACAGCTCAGACAATCGCCTGTCCTTGCACAGCACCCCCCCCGCTCAGAGACGAGCTCGACGAATCCGACCACCATCTCTTCTTCTCCTTCTCGCTCGCCAAACTGATCCAACTCTGCGGTGTCAATCTCGAGTTCCTCTTTCGCCTCATAAACCCGCCATCCCGCCCCTGTCTCTGGATGCCGACCTGGGCAGCCGCCCGAGCCGCGCGATTCGCCGGACTCTTGTCCTTCCCGATCCACAACATCTGCTCATGCTCGCGCAGGTAGCGCCCCTCGGAAAAGTTCTTGAGCACATTCTCCCGCCCCATCATTCCCAGCGCCCGCCGCTGCTCCGTCTTCTCGTACATCCGCTTCTCAATCTGCTTCACCTGCTCGGCGGTCGGCACGGGGTACGCCAGCTCGGGAACATCTGTGCCCGGCGCGTCCTCGGCGTACTGGGCCCACGGCCCGACCAGCGCCATGACGCTGATCTGGGCTCGCGCCAGGGACTCGGAGTCGTTGGGCGGCACCACCTCGGAGAAGCGCAATCCCGTTGTCCGGTCGGTCACAACACAATATGACGCACCGACATCGGTACAGACAACGGGAAGGCCCATCAGCGCCGCTTCACCCATGGCCAACGGCAGCCCCTCGGAGATGGACGAGTTGAGGAACAGCCACCCATCCTGAAGAGCGATGGCCGGGTTCGCCAGACCCATCAGGAAGCAGTGCTCCTGCAGGTTCTTGGAGGCGATCAGCTCAATCAGCTCCGTGGCAATCGTCGCGTGCCGCTCCTTCTCGCCGTACATCAGCAGGCGGTAGTCCTTGAAGCCCCACTTGTTGACGATGACGTCGCTGGCGAGGATGGCGTTCTTGAGGTCCTTGGGGTACTGCACGTGCGACAGCATGATGACGGTCGGGCTCTTGGACTTGATCTCCTTGATGGGCCGGAACGACTCCATGTTGCTAATGCCATTTACGACAGCACAAATTTTTCTCGCGAACCGCTTGCGGTGCTCCAGCACGCCGTCGGCCGTCCCCAGCTCCACCTCCCACCCGGGGTTGAAGTAGTCGCAGCACGGGAGCACAATGTCGGCGTGGTGCTCGAGCAGCACGCACGACAGGTGCGTCAGCGAGATGAGCGTGCTGTTGGTGAAGGACGAGTCGTACGACACGGCCGACGACGTGAAGGTGGTGAACTCGCGGAACGAGATGCAGTGGTCCCAGACGTGCAGCGAGCAGCCGCGCTTGATCTTGCAGACGATGCCGTACATGGCGCCGCAGAAGTGGTGCGAGGCCTGGAAGACGTCGGGGATCTGCTCGGGGACGGGCAGGGAAAAGATGAAGAGGTACCGACACCACAGGTCGAGGGCGTTCTCGAGATCCTTGACGTTCGGCAATTCATAGTCCCAAAACTCCGAGATGTTGAGGTTGTTGTCCTTGCAGTCCTCCGACAACCACAGCTCGCACCACCGCGCAAAGACGACGGGGTGCTTCCACACGTCTTTCCAGTGGCGGTACGTCTCGAAATACGTGTTGAGATCGGCCAGCGCGCGGGTGGCCTCCTCGATGTGGCTGTGGTTGATCTGGATGGCGCGCGCGCACCTGACGAGGCTCTCGAGGATCGGGAGGAAGTCGCGGACAATGTCGGACGTGTGCGTGTTCATGGACCGCTCGACGACGGCCGAGTCGAGCGTCGTCTCGAGGATGCCGTGGGCAGGGTTCAAAAAGTCCAGTCCCCACAGAGGAAGAATCGTCAAGGAGTGCACGTTGCGCTCGATCTGGTACCGCGGAACGCCAAAGTCGTTGGCCGACTCGGCCACGCAATGCCACCGTATCGAGCTCAAATTGTTAATCATGTCACGCCGGCAGTTGGACACGCCACCAGGATCGATGGGCCACGTTGACGTATCCATGGCGAGCACGTGGAGCTCGTTGTCGCTGTCGATCAGCTGGCTCGTCAGCTTCCGGGTGTTGATCCGCGCCTCGCCCGCCTGGCCGAAGCTGTAAAAGTCGGCCATCTTGTAGGCGATGTGCACCCAAGAGCTCGTCGCCGGGTCCACGTCGATGCGGGCCATGATGGCGTCGGCATGGGTGTCGAGATACTCCTTGGCTGCGGAGAGGTGGCCGATGTTTCGATACCACCAGTACGGGCGCATCACGCTGTCTCCGTGGACGAGCTTCTCGTCCAGATACCGCGCCGACACAGCATCCACGTCCTGGTCGTTTCTCCAGGCGTTCCAGAGATTGGTCCTCGCCACATACGTCGG